CTATTTGCGGCTTTTGAATTGAGTGAAATCTTGCCACAGCGGAAGTAGCGGAAGAAGTTCTTCTTGGAAATTGTACAAGTTCTAGCTTCAATATATATATGCTTATCAATGATATTGTTTTATTTATTTTTTTAGTCCAAGAAAAAAAACTCCCTACAATAAAGGGCAATATTCATGGTGAGAAAAATGAGCCAGAGCCTTCTATCATACTTTGCACTTCTGGAAATCTGATCTAACATCCTCCTGCTTCGGAGCATTGCACTGTCGCTTCTCCACCTTCGGAGATAGGGAATCGCTCCTGTTTTTTTTAGGTCTGAGATCTTTTAAATTCCACACCCTGAGTGTTCCATGATCTCTGAGTGTTGAGAATAAGTTCGAGGAAGTTCCATTCCAATTTGTGACTTTTCATAAATTTTTAATTTCTGGCATCATGATGTCAGATGGCAGCACATGAATAGTACAAAGAACTTTATGACCTCCAAGGCACGCGATCCTATAGCAGTAACTTTGCCTAACTTTGAGTTCAGCACACTTTCTTTGATAAAGAATCCTTGCAATACGCCAACTGGTATGCGAAGGTTCCGATAAACTCATTGTCGTCACAGAACGAAAATTATCCGAGCAAGCTCTCTGACCTACTTTCTTTCCAGGCCAGAGAAGTGGTTCCGAACTAAAGTCCCCTCAACTTTATCGAAACTCCCAGATTTTTGTCTAGTTTATACTTAACCATTTACCCTGGAACAGGAACATTGATTTCAAGTACGATACATCGTCCAATCACAATCAGTAGGATCGAAAATTGATGACAAATATTTGCAGCGAAATCTTCAACTTACAAAATTAAGCATAAATCGCTTAGAGCTAGTCCTACTAGTCACACCGTCGATTTCTACCATGAATAAGTGTATCTCGAATACAAGCCTACCTATACTATAACCTGCTATAGTCGGAGAACGTCCGTTGCGCGTGTCCGCCGAAAGTAGGTCACACCGCTCACTTCGCGCGCGGCGCATCGCACTGAGGTCTCGAGATGACATTACAGTACCACCAAGTGTCATTGGAGCAAATGATTTGCATTTGTCTGTGTTATCTTCTTCTTGAACTGACTGCCGCGGACCAAACGCAAAGCGTATGCCCCAGTGACAATTGCGACGTCTGTCAAATATCGCGGGCCGACTCGCCGCGTGCGGCGGCTGCGGCGTGACCTAGTTTCAACGGACACGCGCAACGAAGCGCACCCGCTATAGTCGGTTGGAATTCAAGTCCGAGTCTTTCTTCTCTCGAAGTCTTCTGTACAGTTTAGTTGGGTAGGGAACATGGGAACGGTGAAAGGCTTGACTGGCCTTGGCAATATTCGAACCTCCATTAATTCTCTGATAGAGGTCATTTACTGCTACTTGCTTGAACTGCATAGTGTCCCTACTCCAGCTTATCCCTGACCACGAAGCTCTCGAGACATGCACCTTGAACCTGTCCGCGTGGAAAAGGTCAAAGCAAGAAGTCAGTTGTATCCAGCTCTCAACTGATTTCTTGTAGTAAGCTTTGAAGCTGTAGTTATGGTGACTCTCAGTGGCTAGAATGGACATGAGAAACCTCTAAGGAATCTATCTACAAAGGCTTAACTTCCCATTGTCTCAGAGCAGCTCGAACATGCTTGGAAAAATGGAAATACTAAGAGGTGAACATTTATTAAACAAGTACTCCTACCTCCTGCTCAGAACTTTTCCTAACCGTTAAAGCGCTTCTGCTACTGCCCTCCAATAATCCTATGCGTTGAGTAAGTATCTAGAAAACATAAAGAGTTTCAATTTTTCCACTATATAAAAGAAATTAGCTAAAGCTTCCTGGAAAAAGAAGTAGGATCGTCAGGCATCTCGCAGAACTTGGAAGAAACAAAGAAGTAATTATTAGACGAGCTCTGTGGAGTTTCATTCGAGAATTTCCCTTTCAATTTCACTATTTTGCTTATTTAATGCGCACAAAAAAATAGCTTCAAAATCTTTGATTGACTCTAGTGATAAGCGAAAAGTTGCTGTAAATTTAAGCGATTTCCTATCGGTTATCATGGTATTCATACCACAAGTCCCACTTTTTATTCAGGCCTCCTCGTAAATTTACAGCAACTTTTCCCTCGTAATAATGCTTGAGCTGCCGCTATTTCAAAGTATAAACGCGCTGGGACGACCATTGGTTCGATTTTTCTCTGTTCAGCTATCATTATTTACCTGGTGCGTGACGACAAACTCATAGCTACTCATATCAATCGAATATTCAATGAATATACTAAAGGAGGGCGGAGGTGGTCTAGTGGCAAGTGACGCACTATATCACGCGCGCGGTCAGGATGTTCAAATCCCGGATCGATGCCCGCCTAGGCCAACCAAGCCTTCCATCCCTCCGGGGTCGGTGAGTTGGTACCAGGCTCGTCTGGGAAGATAAAAGCACTGATTTGTACATCGGCTGGCCACCGCAAGTCATTGTATAGGCCACATACGCACTCATTACGCCACTACGATTCTGAATGGAAGTCGAGTGCGGGTGCGCATCCCTCAGACGGGATTGTTTGACGCCAAAAACTTTATCCTTTATCCTTATACTAAAGGAAACGCGAGTCACTAATCGCTGGCCAAACACTGTAGGCTCCCAATCGTTCGCACTATGTCAATGGTGTGACTTATACCGGGAGGAAGCACTTTGCTTCTATGATTGTCTTTCATCGTTTAGACATAGCATGAGCGTGATCATTAGAGGGTGCTTGCGGTGAGCGCGCCTACTTCTTTGCACCTATTTGGGGATATTGAAAAACTAATTAGAAGGAGGCGGTCTTTACCACCAACCGTCTCGATCGTGCAAAATTATTGCCGGTGCCTTCGATAATTGCACTAGAATGTGTTCATGAAAAAATGCCGCTTAGAATTAATTATCTTCGAAGGTCTCGTGTTACCCTCTTGAAATGATAACGATTGTTTTCAACTGTTTATCACAGATTTCCGCCATTCTGTCAGTTGTTACTCAGGTGACAATTTTTGTTGCCACCACTTTTTCCCGACGACCTAGCCGATTGATAATCAGCCACTCAACTCTTCAATTGGGGTCCCTCAATTCAGTACACACTTCATCTAAACAGTCGTGGTCGTGGTTGCTATTCAGTATGTACTTCTTGTACGAAACCCAAATGGCAGTTTTTCTCTGCTGACCTCCCATTAATCGTTGAAACCCTCTACCATTAATCGTTTTCCGAGAAAATCAGCAGTGCATCTGTTGATGTTTCGAGTGTTGTACTGTTTTTTTAGTGTGTGTGCATGTGTTTATGTGTGTATGTGTATGTGTGTGTATGTGTGTGCGGATGGGTATGGGTGTGGGTGTGTGCGTGCTTTGGTGATGGTTCGAGTGCTCCTTGCTGTGTTCCAACTTAGGATTATTTTTGTGCCCAACGATGCAATCTCAATAAAAACATTATTCTTAAAAGCGTAAAAAGTCTCAAAACTATGTTTCTCCCTCGCTTTAATCCCTGTTCCGTTTTCTCGACGTACGTTTAATGCTCTTCATGCTTTCATGCTGTTCCTACAATGGAGCAAAGATGGAAAAGTGACAAGTTTCGTCAATTCCACGCTTTTGAGATCGAACTGGGATCGAATTCTGATAAGGATAGACCTTGCCGTCCATGCCTAGGGACCTACTTATGGGAATCAAATTCTTCCCTCAGGAGAACGAAATGCGATGACACATCCACAAAATAAGTCGTATTCACTATTTATGTTACGCTGCACTGTAGAAACTGCAGCCTTTTACACAACTGGCCCATAGAGGACAAAATTTGAATCAAGTGGGATTTATGCGGGGTGGGTCCATCAACTGACTTAAATCTTCTGTTCTTTAATTGTCTCTTACTAGGCAATATACCTGAAGACCATTGTTTCAGACTGTTTACCAAAGTTCCCAGTGGAAACCAATCACTCGCCAAAATTTTCACACGTTTCGCATTCACAGCGCGAAACTCTAGGCCAACCCGAGCTCACTGCCTTTTTTCTGCATTAATTTTTTCCACTCCCTGCTTTATTCGAAAAGCCCTTAAGTGTCCCTCAAAATTTACTTGGTTCGCACCAATTTTCTAGCACCGTACTTATAAGAAACTACAAAAATGTAGCATTTGAAAAAATATCACAGCCCTTGTAGCTTCATGAAGGCCGAAACAAGCTGAACGAAACCCTACCAGTCAGATACACCATAACTCTAATAACTTCCCTTCTAGCGTACTCCTTGAAAAGAATCAGTTCATAAGGTGAACATTTACTAAATGAAAGATTCAGAATGTTAGCAGAAATCCTATACAGCTTTGAAACCTACTCAATCAGTCATATTAGAAAAAAAACTCACCCGTAAGGGTTTCCTTCGTTAATTTGAGAATTCGTGTGATTCACTTTTTTATTTTTGCAACACAATAGCTGTAAAACAATCTGTTACAATTGATTCCATGGAAACCATTCAACAAAATGGACCACAATTTGTTCTTTGACCATGATCCATGAATTGAATCATATCTTCGTCTTCTAACGGATTATTCATTAAGGCTCGAAGTTGGACAGCTCATTATTCCTATCTTAATCATTTTCTTTCCTATCACTTTATTCTTTCGTACATTGAAAGTATGAAATGATGGAAATGAATATTTGAGTACATTGGAAAGTGAGCTTTCCGTTGCTGATAATTTTTGAATCTCATTGACCCCTTGTTCTTCGTGCTGATTCCCTAAAACACTGATGTAACAGCTCTCGTGGTATCACATTCCCTTTCCTATAATTCGTTTGTACCATTTGGCCAGAGCGCGGCACCATTCAGATTTGACTGTTGGAAGTGTGGTGGGAGTCCACATACGGCAGATTCGTGCTCTGACCTAATGGCACAGCTCAATAATGATGCTTCCAATAATACTAGGTTGTTATCGAGAATCCGGCTTTTCGCCTTTTCCTTCGAACCCCTTTGATAACCCATCTTTCAGCATGTCGATGATGGATTTGCAAATCGAAAAGCAGTATTCATTTTGTGGACTGTCATTACGTTGTGCCACTCAAGCCTGTACAGCAATTCAGGCACTGCTTTGCCTAGTGTTGGGGTAAGTCATAGTAGCTGGCCAGACTATTGCAGCCGTCGACGTCTTTTCCAGTTGCCAGCAATCTCTTCACTCACTAATCACATTTCCTACTAAGCCAATAAAGGTTTTAAGCGTCTGTTTCGATAGAGGCAATTCATCTCCTAAGGGAACACTTCTTGGCTATTTTGACGGCTAACTGATGCGGAACGAAGAGAAGGGAAAGGAAGATAAGAGAATAGAGTAAAAAGGGAGAGGAAAGTGAAAAGAGTGAAGGGGATGCAGGGTGAAAAGGAGAACTACGTGAGAATAAAGGAACAAAAAGGGAGAAAGAAGGNCCCCCCCCCCCCCCCCCCCCCCATAAAGTTTATAGGAACTCCAACTCCAACTCTTACAGGAATTTTGTACTAAATATAATTAATTGCAACGTCCCTTTAGGATCTCCTATCGTGTTTTGCTCGAGCCATCGGTGATTGCATCAATTCTGTTTGGAATCCACATGTTCTGCACACTACTTTCATTGATATTCCTGGTATTCTGTTTTCTTAAACGGAAATTCGGCACATTCTACGAGGTTCTATTACACGCCTATCTGTTAAGCATCGTAAGTCCATAGATATCGATCTGTTGGTCCAAAGGTTTTATAAATTAATGATTAGCTTTTAGTTGCTTATGGCTCTCACGTCACTGTTTGCGGTTATGTTCCTTCCGTTAGCGTTTCTTCAGCAATCTCATTCGTTCAGCGAAGGTTAATTACTTTTTGAATTCGAGATTCAGACAGTTTGATTTTTCTCAGGGTTTTCATCGATAGCTGGTTAGAAATTAGATATGGATTTCTGACAGTGAGAGCAAAGGTCTGCTAGATAGTCTTTCGGAGGTTTCAATTGTATCAAACGTTTGAAGCGGCCTGACCTTGAGCTAAGAGGAGTAAGCACTTGCAAAGGTCGAACTGTTAGGCGCTGAGAAGGAATTCTCTGGTATACAAAATGCAGTTGACTTCCTCTGAGAACTCCTGATTCAACAGGCACTTACGTGGGATGTATCCCAAGCAGCCGTACTTGGAAAAATGACCCGTACGGAATTTAGTCACTTGAGTAGCACATATACAGTAGAGCGCTTTTTTTGAATGCAATAGGTGCGATTTCTTGTCGAACTCCCACTGAGATTGGAATATCCCTCCAAAAATGTTGCGAGTATCGTTTTTCTAGTAATGCCCCATTCGATTTTCGAGATTTGTGGTCAACATTTCCTACAACAATAAGGTACTTGTCAGTAGCTGCTTTCGGCTTTTCACCCGTCATGATGAATAACGGCTAATGTGGCTGCCAAAAGCGTTGAAAAGGACTGTTGGAACGTTAACGTGAACATATATCATGGCAAATATCTAATGCATGAGCTAAGGTACTTGTAAGACATTGGCGCTCAATGAAATGACCTGCGATTTTGGTGTAAAAGAGAACCACTTGGCACCGGGACCGTTGCATGCAACTCGAATATACGCAGTTCTTCATCTGGAAGCCCAACTTCCATCAGGAGAGAAGTAGCGAAATGATTCCAGACGGTGGCAGCTGTGGAGGTCATCTGATTCCAAACTTTCACTGGGGTCCGTTATATGGCTTGCTTAAAGCTACTCTGGGAGGGTACAAACCATTCTATAAAGAGTTGACGAATACCAACAATTCACGTATTGATGCCCCACTTTCGGTAACTGCATGCCAAATATTGGTGACCAAATCGATTAGTGGGATTCGTATATATTGCAAAATGGATAAGTTGCCTCCAGACAAATTTCTGTCTGTGGAACCGAACATTCTTTTCTACAGCGAAAGCCTAAAAGCGGGTGGAAATAACTAATGAATCCTGCTACAATTTGAAGTCTCTCTAAGACTTTGGACGTGGATCAATCCATTGGATCAATCCAACAATCCATTTCAATGGATGGCACGTAGCCGACCCAGAAGGAATGGAAGACTCGATTGGCCTAGGCGTGCATTAGTAAACCCTTGTGCTACTATTTAGGAAGTTTAATCTCAAATGCACTGCACCCAGGTGGATTCCTTCCTGACTCGCGTGTCTCTACGAACTACCCCAGCTTCGGAATTTTTGACATTTCCCCACATGGATCTGTTTGGAAACATTTTTTATCCGAGACATATACAAGGTCCTCAACCATGGGTTGCGTGGGACGTGGACGTCAGCTGCAACCACCTGTCATTTGTTAATGATCTTCGGACTGGAGGCTCGTTATCTAATATTGCCCTGATATTGCGATCAAAGCTATCTTTGCCACATCATAAGTGAATACCTTATTCCACCGTTTCGAGGGCATCAACATAATGACTTTTGCGGTAAATAATTCCTTCTTCGAAGCCTGCCAAAACCTAAATAAATTCATCTTGTCGAACATTGGCAGAAATCACCCTCTTGATTGCAAACTGTGGTAGGAGGTGTTTGCGGTCGTACCATTTCCCGGAAAGAGCTAGGCAGTCTCATACCACCCAGCGAGACGCGGAGATCCACTCTGTTCAAAGTGAAATAAAGTAACGCCAGCTGGTTAGGGCAGTGATACTCATTGCCGCCGCAGACGTGAGCCATTCTAAGGGTTGGGGTTAGTGTCGGCTCAGGATGCCACTCTAACTACCAAAAAGGCCTCTCAAACTCTCAAGGACGGATATCAAATAATTATATGTGAGTTGGTGCATTTTTCCTCACTCCTTTTTTCACCCTCCCTCTCACTCTCTTGGCAATCAAGCTTCCACTCGTTCGCTGTCTCCTAGTCACAGGTTCACTTCAACCGTCCGAAGTCTCGAAAATCGGATGCAATACTGGATTCAAATGGAATGTAGTGGATTCGATGTTTCATATTAATTTAATCAAATCCACGAACTTAATAGTAATGTAGTGAGCGGCGCATTCAAAGCCTTTTTAAATCGTTCGACTCGGACTGAGAACAACGTTTTGCTGTCGGCTGTGACTACTATCCCATCGCAGTCGCTCGTCGAGCCGTCCCACACTTCAAGATGTCTTTCTGGCTTATGTCCATTACTCAGTGACACGGGGTCAAGCGAAGTGATGTAAATGGATCCACATCCTATCTCCAATAACATCGTGCGAAAGATGTGGGTTTTTGCAGTTCGTCATGAGGAACTGCTGCCGAATACTGTGTTAATCTTGTGGTGACATAGGGCCTATTCATACCACGACTCGGATGGCCTGAACAAAGCCTGCTTCCCTGCATTTTAGGGAATCGTAACTTCTTTCATTAGATTGAACTGATTCAACTTTTCCTCTGCTCCTGCTCACATTCTCGTTTACTTAGCATCCCTTCCCGGGCTATGTTTCTATTTTTGCCTGCTATGCTTTTATGAACTCAAAAACGTTTTTAATTTTTTCACTCTGTGAATTGACTGCAAGGTTTACACAACTTTAGAAAGTGTGGAGTGGAACACAGAGGGTGTAACTGAGACAGAAGCTCTTGCCTTTTTGGTCCCTTATTAGTCCTTATGACACGGGGTCAAGCGGACTGATGTAAGTGGATCCACATCCTATCTCCAATAACATCGAGCGAAAGATGTGGGTTTTCGCAGTTCGTCATGAGGAACCGCTGCCGATATTCTGTTTTGATCTGTGGTGACGACAGGGCCTATTCATACCACGACTCGGATGGCCCGAACAAAGCCTGCTTCCCTGCATTTCAGGGAATCGTAACTTCTTTCTTTAGATTGAATTGATTCAACTTTTCCTCGGCTCCTGTTTACTTTCTCATTTACTTAGCATCCCTTCCCAGGCAATGTTTCTATTTTTGCCTGCTATGCTTTTATGAACTCAAAAACGTTTTTAATTTTTTTCACTCCGCGAATTGACTGCAAGGTTTACACAACTTTAGAGAGTGTGGAGTGGAACACAGAGGGTGTAACTGAGACAGAAGCTCTTGCCTTTTTGGTCCCTTATTAGTTCTTATCTCCCCTTACTAATGATCTTCATACCGACAAACACATTAGACACCAGAATACTGAGGTTTCACTACTAAAATGAAGTGCACAATGGATGCGGTGGTTCGTACCTTCCACTTCCTCTTGACATCAAGTTCGTGCCATCTCCCATCGCACGTCGTCGGGACACCCGTCGCTTCCAACTTTTAAAACCTGGGTTCTTAGCAAAAGAAGTATAAGTATTTGGTTAACATACACGAACAAATTAGCTAACAAACAAGTAAACAGAGGCATAAACACATCAACATATACGCGTAACAACAAATAGCTTTTACTCCGTTATTACTGGAGTCATTATGAATTCTGACCGTACGTTTCAGTCTCTTCTTTCAGGAATGCACTACTTGTTTCTGTTGGCCACTGCCGCTGCTATGCTGACACTTCAATTTGTGCAAAGAAACCTCGTCGAACAAATGTTACCGTTAATGGAATCGTGTTTTGTGTAGGAAAATTGTCTGCTTAGAGAAGGCCAAGAGCACACGACCCAACCGATGATTTGATTTCGTGATGGGACTTGCGAGTAAGAAAATGAACTAGGGCATTGAAGACTGAACTTATAATATTTGGCAGCAGCCAAAACTTTATACGCATAAGACTTTTCGAAGGCACAATTTTTGATAACAACGGTTTCTGGAATCTTCTACTAGGGCGAATCTTTGGTCTCCAAGAATCCCACAAGGGGAGTTGTTGGGTTTAAAAACCGCCTACGTAACTGCAACGTGGGCTCAAAAAGAGTCTTCCTTGAATATAACACTGAAAAGTGGCCTTGTTTTGATACCTTTGAAGATGCTGTACCGGAAAATTGAATCAGCTGATCGTTTTGGCATCCACCCATGGCAATAGTGGAAAACGGTTCTTATCAGGAGGGGAACTTGACGTACTTGTCCATGTCTGTATTCCCGTCCAAACACCCTTTCGGTATAACTATTGGCATTGCTACGTCCCACCACAAAATCATTTCACCGATTTTTATGCAATTGTGGACTTCAAGAACTGTTATGACGGGTTATGGACGTCAACTTGACGGCATAATATTTCTCGGGTCTCTTCTGTTTGTTCTTGATTTGAATAATTATCATTTTCCCAAAGTGAACAACTAAGATATTGTTGTAAAGTAGCTGTTTACCAATATAATTCCAGTGTACATGATTTTGTTCCAGTGTTTAGTTATGACTTCTATTGGTCTTTTACTTTTTAGTAGTTTTATCCTACCATGATGAACGTCTATGTTTCTTATTGAAAAGATCACCGAGAAAATTCAGTACTTTCTGGGTTAGGATAAAGATAAACTCTCTGGCAGTTGATCTATCCCGTCCGACAATGAGGGGTGCGCCCCGCATCCGACTTCCATTGAGAATCGTAGAGGCGTATTGAATGCGTCTGTGGCCNCTGGCACCAATTAACCGAATCCGGAGCGATGGAAGACTCGGTTGGCCTGGGCGGATGTCGATCCGGGAATCGGACCCGTGACCATGCGTGTGTGTTAGGGCGCCACTTCACACTACACAAGCTTTGCCCTTTGACAGAAACTATACAGCATATGAGTGTGCAGTACGGCTGGAGGGAAGCGTTTCCGCGTCCCATTGTGCTCTTTCCGCGAAACAGTACCTTACTGAACAATCCCTCGTTCGCTTTTTGCACGGAATGGCACCTCACCCAACCCGGTGTTCCTTCCCTCCTTAGGCTTAGGCGAAAACCTTTATCTTCTATTTCACTACATAGTTCAGATTCGTTCCTAAGCACCAGGATAGGCCTATAGCTTTCAGCGTCAAAGACGCGAAGCCCCGTGGGGCCACCCCGTCCCACTAAAACTTTTCGTCGAAAACGAATTTTTACGCCCCGAAAGCCTCACAAAAACCATCAAATGGGCGTGCGTATTGCCTCATGAGTACAGAGACCAACATACAAATATCACAAACAGATAATGAACAGATAATGGTAGATACCTTTCATACAGATAAGCAGTGATTATAGTCTACCAATCACTGCGGTGTTTCAATTTAGTAGCAACGTCGTGCGAGGTGGTAAACCTACTCGAAAAATACTTTCGTGACTTCAAAACTTTCGCTACGCTGCAATGCTATTACTACAGCGATCTGTTATAGGTGAGGTTCGGAGTTTTATGTAAGCAAACTGTCCACCTATAAGGGATAATATAGGATAACTTTGATTTGTGATTCACTCTGCTGGATCTTTTCTGCCTCTTTCATTATGGGCAATATCAAAAAAGCACAGTTTTAATTTCAGTACAACTGCAAACGAATGCCGGTATTGATCGCATTATTGTGCATCTCCCAAGTGGATAGAATAGCTGGGTCTATATCTCTTGGGTGACGGAACGTCTCCTCGACTTCCCACGGCCTGCTGCAGCGACTCCGCGGCGATTCTCCGAATCCTTCCATTGCGAATACGAATCTTGCCCTTCACAACGCGTGATCGCGTGTGAAGAGCACGATACGTCGTTCGGGGATAAGTTACCAGACCCATATCTCTTGACTACTTTGAAATTTGAGCTGCCAGTGCGAACAAGACGCGTATCCGTAGGTAGGAACTCTTCTGAACTCATATTACTCGATACCACAATTCTTAGCAGAGATACTGAGTCACATTATCGAAGTCTCTTCCTTCTCTCATTCATAAAGCAGCAGCATAAAGCAGTTGGCGTGTCGCTTTGTGTGTTTGTCGGTCTGTCTGTACGCCCGTCCCTGAATTTATGATTACGACGAAGGCACTGATATGGAAACATAGCTGTATTCTACGTTTCTTTCTTATATATGAAGCAGTAACTTGGAGGGTGGAGCAGTTAGTAGTTAATGGACTAGAGTGAGTACAGCGGAGCGAAGTGAGTGATGTGGAGTGAAGTGGTTACTTCAGAACTGTAATTTCGATCTGTACTGGCATCGTGCTAGGTATGTCTGTACGAAAATCGGAGGTAATTATGTAGTTAGGAGACCTCCGCTTATTTCAACATCGAGCGCTGGAGCGCGATAAGGGGTTAGCCCGTAATTGTGCTCAGAATTCTTGTTGCTTCCGTGGTGGCAGCCGGTCGGTTTCTTCCACCTCTCCAGCCACCTTCCTACCCGGGGCCCAGTATCGTCTGCCAGAAGTGATTGGGCCCCACGGCAGACTATCGCCCAACCTCATGGCCATCCGTATTGGACGTCTCTTCATCGGAACAATAACCAGCCGATCTATTTCAACAGCAGCACGCCAAGTCGAACTTGACAATGCCATGGAGAAGATCAAATGCGATATACTCGGACTAACAGAGGCCAGGATACCGTACAGCGGAAGCTATGAATTACCGTCAGGTACGATTCTATTCCACTCTGGTGCCAAAACTGCCCACCGTGGTGTAGCTTTCGTTGTAAGACAACCGCTAGCCCGTGAAGTGAGGTTCACGCCCATAAGCGACAGGC